TCCATAATAACATCAGGCAGTGATGACTTCTCTGGGGGTACACACACGTACGTATACGAAGAGTTCGAAATTACGAGAGAGGAGGTCAAGAGACACCTGCTGGATCTGGATGTTAGAAAGGCTGTTGGTCCAGATGGGATCTCACCTTGGATACTGAAAGAGTGTGCAGAGGCACTTTGCTTGCCACTCTCCATAGTGTATAGTAAGTCACTGGAGACGGGAGACCTACCAGAAATATGGAAGACGGCGAATGTGGTCCCAATATACAAAAAGGGGCGCAGGCAAGAGGCACTGAACTACAGGCCAGTGTCCTTGACTTGTATACCATGCAAGGTGATGGAGAAGATCGTGAGAAAAAACCTGGTAACACATCTGGAGAGTAGGGACTTTGTGACAAATCGCCAACATGGGTTCAGGGAGGGTAAATCTTGCCTTACAGGCTTGATAGAATTCTACGATCAGGTGACAAAGATTAAGCAAGAAAGAGAGGGCTGGGCGGACTGCATTTTCTTGGATTGTCGGAAAGCCTTTGACACAGGACCGCATAAGAGGCTGATACATAAGCTGGAGAGACAGGCAGGTGTAGCTGGTAAGGTGCTCCAGTGGATAAGGGAATATCTAAGCAATAGGAAGCAGAGAGTTACGGTGAGGGGTGAGACCTCCGATTGGCGTGAAGTCACCAGTGGAGTCCCACAGGGCTCAGTACTCGGTCCTATCTTGTTTCTGATATATGTAAATGATCTCCCGGAGGGTATCGATTCATTTCTCACAATGTTTGCGGACGATGCTAAAATTATGAGAAGGATTAAAACAGAAGAGGACTGTTTGAGGCTTCAAAAAGACCTAGACAAGCTGAAGGAATGGTCGAACAAATGGTTGTTAGAGTTTAACCCAACCAAATGTAATGTAATGAAGATAGGTGTAGGGAGCAGGAGGCCAGATACAAGGTATCATCTGGGAGAGGAAATTCTTCAGGAGTCAGAGAAGGAAAAAGACTTGGGGGTTGATATCACGCCAGACCTGTCTCCTGCAGCACATATCAAGCGGATAACATCAGCGGCATATGCCAGGCTGGCCAACATACGAACGGCATTCAGAAACTTGTGTAAAGAATCATTCAGAACTTTGTGTACCACATATGTCAGGCCAATCCTGGAGTATGCAGCCCCAGCATGGAGTCCATATCTAGTCAAGGATAAGACTAAACTGGAAAAGGTTCAAAGGTTTGCCACCAGACTAGTACCCGAGCTGAGAGGTATGAGCTACGAGGAGAGATTACCGGAATTAAACCTCACTTCGCTGGAAGACAGAAGAGTTAGGGGGGGACATGATCACTACATTCAAGATTCTGAAGGGAATTGATAGGGTAGATAAAGACAGTCTATTTAACACAAGGGGAACACGCACAAGGGGACACAGGTGGAAACTGAGTGCCCAAATGAGCCACAGAGATATTAGAAAGAACTTTTTTAGTGTCAGAGTGGTTGACAAATGGAATGCATTAGGAAGTGATGTGGTGGAGGCTGACTCCATACACAGTTTCAAGTGTAGATATGATAGAGCCCGATAGGCTCAAAAATCTGTACACCTGTTGATTGACGGTTGAGAGGCGGGACCAAAGAGCCAGAGCTCAACCCCCGCAAACACAACTAGGCGAGTACAACTAGGTGAGTACACACTGGCACGTTTTGCCTGCATACCACTAGGACCTGCTTCTGGCTCACTGCATGATTTTCTCATTGTTTTTCTTGAAGATTGTTTTCCCCTTCTTTGTAACACGTCTCTAGTGAGACATCACGTTGTCATTAATAAGATCAATGCAACGGCCTGCTAAAGCTGGATCTGGGTGATTCTTTTCAGTAAAACTTTGCAATTCTTCCCATACTGCACACATTTTCTTAATGAGGAAGAGACATCCTCTACTGCCTCCTCCTCCTCCACTGAAGATTTGTTATACTGCCTAGCTAGTTCAACAACACGTACCATTTTCATGTTTACGAATAATCTCTTGTTTTTCCTCTATGGTCATTCTCACATGTGTTTTCTTGCCTTGAACCTTACCACTGGCTTTCTTTGGACCCATGGCGAGATATAACAACTACTTTTATGTTTAAATGGTAAAAAATCCGGAAAGAAACTGTAAATCCTTGCAAAGAATTCAGGTGGGATAGTCACTAGGCAGGAGGCACTGGTAAACTAAGGCACGATTGTCATGTCACCACGCGCTAGGTCGGTCATACACGTATCAATAAACTCGTATCCCGAGGTAAAGTTCGTAACCCTATTCAAATTTTACAAAGAAATTGGGCTCGTAACCTGAAAAGTTCGTAAACAGGGGCATTCGTAAACCGAGATACCACTGTATGAGGTTTCCTGGCACTCTCATTTACCATTTGTCCTCTCGTTTCAATTCAGAGTTTCCTTCCTTTTTGTCTTAGTTTGTGGATTGGCATATTATACCAATCATTCAGCCTTGATGGAGCTGCTTTTATTGGTGTTCAGCACTAATGCTGCTATGGCACCATTTTGCAAATTCTCTTAAGAGTTCTTTCAGCTCCTACTCATTCTTCTCTTGAGACATCTTGGTCTCTGGACAGGGTCTTGGTTTTCTTTCATCTACTCAGTTCTTGTAGCCCCTATGGTCAGTGAAGCCCTTTGGATTGCTTTGATTTTGTTGGCCTTTGGTTATGCTTGTCAGGTTGGAAAGCTTCATGGTGTAACACTGTAAAAGTGTTTGGTTTAGTAATACATACATAGAGTACATGAGTCAGAGACAGGGATTAGAGAAGGCGCCAGTTTGTCCACCGGAAAGTCACACCTCAAAGCGTTAATGACCTCAAGTGACCTGAGGTCAGATCATGAGAATTTCACCTTGCTTCTGCTAAGCTTATAATTGGAGCCGGGTAGCCTTCAAACATGCCGACGTTTAAGGAGTGGCTTGGTAGAGTGCCGGAGGCTATCTACTTGTGGGCGGAGTTAGCTACTAGGTTCCCCAATATAAACTCGGAGAGCTATCGAGCATTAAGCATTAACAGACAGAACAGCAGTCAGCAGAGCAGAGGAGATGGCCCTAGCAGGGAGGCTGTCGACCGGCAGGGCGGGAGTCTCTGTCAACTACAGACCCCCCCCCCCCCTCTATCCAGCTATAGGCAGAGACACTTGGTGAGTTGAGCAGTAAGGTGACTTGGTCGTGTTTACATATGTTGTGTGATGATCAGGGGCAGTCAAGTTGTAGGGTTCTCGAATTCTTGGATGATGACTCACTTTGCATATTAAACTGGAACATTTTAATTGAATTGCTAAATTATGATACTTCATGTGAAATATAATTATGAATTTATTATTTAAATTGTGTTTAACTTTGTTCCCTAGAGCTTTGAGTTGAGGTGAGAAAGACTCTGTGGTTACTGGTTTCATGATATTAATGAGTACATGTTTGGAGTTGATACATGGTAATAACATCTTTTGAGAATATTTTGATACAGACAAGTTCCATTCCTTGTCTTGTATGTAATGATCATGAATGGATGGTGGCAGCATTTCGTCTTCTACTATCTACTATCTACTTCTACTATCTACTCTTCTACTTCTACCTATCTACACCTCTCCCTCCACCCCTCTCTGAACTCTCACTTTCAACTAATGACCCTCCTCGCTCCTCCCACCTCCCTACCTCTCACCCCAAACCCTCACTAATTACTTCACTATTCATTTCTTTCCTTTCGTTTTCTCTTATACGCTTGGGGCAGTGAATATGTATTCTAGAGTTCTCTCTAGAGTTTCGGGTAACTGATCAAGTTACGGCGCCTTGTAGTCTTAGCACCTAGGTAGTCAAATACCTAGGTGACAAGGTGTTGAACGAGAGAGGTTGCCTTAGGAACTCTGGAGGGGCTCTAGAATAGTTAGCTAACGGAGGACGGGATAACGGACTAGAGAGAGCTGTTTCCCCCGGCCTCGTTAGTTAACTGGGGGGGTGGAATAATGGACAAGATAGAACTACAGACCCCCCACCCCCCGTTACAATGGTATCCTCCAGAAGTTAGAATTTTGTTCTTTCAGCCCTTGTGGCTGTGTCTTCATCTGCAGTCATTTTGTTTTCTGGCTAAGAATGAAATAATTGTTTTCCAGGAAGGTTCTTTATTTACTGTTTCTTTGTTCAGCTTAGGCTGCATCATTTGTGGTCTGGTTGTGAATGTTCATAACTACCTGCACGCAACAAGAGGCAGCTTTGGGGAATGTGTTATTTGTTGATCCAGTGTTGCTGTTTTTGTTTTAAAGCTTGTTTGTGTTGGGTCGTTTGCAGCGTTGTGACATCTAGCGAGTCTACAGTTGACCCTTGGGCCCATGATGTTCAGGGGTATGCCGCATTAGCGACTATGGTCTTTTGTTTATTTTGACATTGTTGTTGTCTGTTTTGCTTTCCTTACTCTGAGTGTTTGATTCTTCAGTGAAGGGAATCCTTTGTGCCTCCCTGAGAGGGGCTAGATTTTAGCCTCTGGTCCTTGGTAGGCATTTAATGACTTGCAAGCACTGATGTGACTTGCAAGTATGGAGCTATTTCATTGCGGAATTTCATTGTAAGGAATCGACAACTTTACACCTCCCCCACCTCCATAGAAAATGGCATTTCATTATATTCAACATTGATTATTTTTTTTGTGTGTGCATTGGAAGAGGCACCTTGTATGATAGCTGCTCTTCAGTGGTTAAATATTTTACAGTACACCACAAATTGCCTTCTGGGTTATTGGAGCACAGCAGCCAATTGCTTGAGACAGTTTATGGATTAAGAAGATGGATGGTTTTTGTAAAAGTTATGAAGATTAATTTATAGACAGAAATACAATAATTGTATTTCTGTCTTGTATTTACTGAATTAAACTTGTATTTACTGTTTAAACAATTAAATTACAGTAATATAATTTAATGATAACTCCGACTCACTACACCTCTTATCTTAATACAGTAGTACATATACCACCTCTTAATTTGTTTTTCAGATCTTCAAAATGTGGAGAGTGAAGTGCAAGTTGGACGTACAGCAGTGCAGGAAGCACTCACCAAGGCTGCCCAGTCTCTGAACACTGCGTGTTCTACCCTCAGCACACAGTCCAAGTCTGTGCAGGAAAATGTCACCAAGCTAGCTGCTCAACAGAATGTGTTAGTTGATTTAACAAATAGTCATTTTTCATGTTACTTGATTAGAGTACAGCTTCAGAATATTCTTAAATTTGTGCACTGTACTTTGGTATAATGTCCTGAATTAACCCTCAAACTGCTAGGGGTCCAAATGGATTTAACACCCACAGGCGCAACAACAAAAAATATTCCAAAAAATTCTTTCGTCTTATAAGTGTTCATTTTTGTTCCCTGATCACGCAAAAAATAACAAAATCGTAGATGGCATATTTTATCCGCAATAGGGTAGGGAAGTCTGGCAAAAAAGGGGCGTTGACAGAGCCTTCGCCAGACAAGGTCTGCTCCACTCGACCTGTCAGGCAGCAGTTGCCACAAATATATTATTACCTAATTATTTCAATGTCTCTGATTTTTTCTTAGTTTTCTGTGAGGAGCCCCTACGGCTCCCTGGAGCTTATCGGGCTAATGTATGTTATATTAGACCGAGACATTAGCTAAGGAGTTCAGACCTACCAGGGACCAGCACCAGAACCTGGCCCCTTCAGAGAGGTTTCAGGGAGCAATGGCACTGGAAAACCCTCTTGTGGTTGGGGTTTTCCTTATCTGCCATCAACCGGGGTCAGGCACCCAGAAAGGTAGGCATGACAAAACAAACCCCACATGGTAAAAAACTAAAACAAAAAAACGAACAAAGAGGTAGAAACTCCCTACACTTCCAAGGAAAGAAGGAAACAAGCAAACATCACACTTTACTGCCGCGCCGATCGTCCTTGCAGCCCTCCCCGCCCCGAGAGGGGGAGGGGGGAGCCCTGGACCTACCGCGCTGGCTGTCAAGCCTCAGTTCGTAAGCTAATGTCAACCGGGATAGACGCTTCTCTGGCCTCAGTTTCCTAAGCGGTGTTTGCCTTGTGTGGCGTTCACTGCCGTGTGTTGTGGTGTGCGGTGGCAGGTGTACCTCATCAGTGCCAGGGCTGCATGCGCTTAGTGGCTGACTTCCCTAAGCGCCCTGTGAGTACTGCCCTTGCGTAACAGGGTTATCTTCCCTGGGGCGTTCGGGAACCATTCCCGTAGAGGTTCTTGCTGCTCGGCATTTGCTTCGCCCTTGGGGGCCCTTGTTTGGCCCTGGGTAGGGATTGGTATTGTGCTGGTTAGGGCATCAAGGTGTTGCACAGCCTGCCACCTAAGCGGCGACCGGTTCCTGTTGCCTCTGGAGACGGTGTACTTTTGCAGCGTTTTTTTGTTTTTATTTTCAATTGCCTGGTGGGGGCCTGCCTAGTGTGGCTATAGTTCCACTGGTAGTGTTTGGCGGCCCTCTGCTAGGCCCCCTGTGATTGTACACGTCGCAGGGGTTTTCAGTGCTATCCTCTACCCTCTTGTTATTTTTGGGTTTCTTAACCGGTTAGCAACACCTTGCCCGGGCTTCCCGTAGCAGTCAGCCTACGGGCCCTGGAAACCCGTCTGGGCGCGGGGGACCATTGAATGTGTCTTCCGGGTTCCAACCCGTCTTGTACGGGATCGTTGGTTGCTGTGCCCTTGTCTCCGAGTGGCAGTAGCCACTTTTACCTGTCATGCTGCCTGTTGGGTCACTGACACCTTGACCCGGAGTCTTGCGAGAGTTTTTCTCTGCTTGCTCTCCAGTACTCTCCTGATGTTATTACTGTTCAGAGTACAGGCGGCATCCGTGTTGCAAGCTAGGTTAGGTTGCTGCAACATGCTAGGTTGGTTTCCCACTCGGATGCCCCAAGGCCGCCCCGTTTTGGTTTGTTGCTGTTCGCCCCTTTCCCCCTCTGTTCCAGCTCCGGACCGTCTGCGGGTTTCGGGGTCGGGGCGGGGTTTAGTTGGGGCCGAGACTCGGGCGGTTTTCGGGGGCTGCCCTGTTCGGGTTGGGGAACGGAGGTTTTTCGAGCCGGATCCTCCTGCCAAGGCTTCTGGGTCTTACCAGCGGCCCTTTCTTGCTGCCTTTCCCATGGACTCTTGCTTTTCTTTAAGTTCGGAGGGCTTGGAGGACGGCTCTGCCCCTGGGGCCTCTGTTGCTGGTTCCCGGGGCTGTGGGGGATGCCTGCTAGCAGTTCTGGGGTAGTTTGCCCCTGCCTGGGTTTTCTGCTTTTGGGCAGCATTTTTCGTCCATCCAGTCTGCTTGCTTCCCACTTTTGCTGGTGTGTTTTTGTATCTTTAGCATCAGTCACAGCCCCTGTTCTGGGGGCCATTTTCATCTGCCGGATTCCCGGCGTGGCCACCAGGGCAGTGTTGCGATTTGTTTACATGCGACTGGGTGTGTGAGCGAGCTTCTTGGGTGAGTTTTCACCTTTTTTCAGGGGTTTTATTCTCCTGTTGTCGTTTATTTGCTTTTCTGGTGTTTTCTGCCCGTTTCCTGTTCCTCTGGGAACGTTTGAGTGTTGATTTTACACCGGGTTTCCCATTTTTGTCTGTTTTGGGTCTGGGCCTTTGGGTTTGGGCTCAGTGTCCTTGGCTGTTATGCTTGCTCCCACACCTTGTCCCTCGGTTTTCGGTCTGTTATGACCGTTTTCCCAGGGGGTTCTGTCTGGGGGCTGTGCTATGCCTTTCTATGGTGTTTCTCCGCCGGCAAAATGTGGTGGTTTGGCCTCCCCCTGGTTCGATTCCGGGTTCCTTTGGGTTCTTTGGTTTCGTTCTGGAGGTTTCTTCCTCTTGGGCCCCCTTTGTGGGTTTTGGGGGCTTTGTTTCCTCGTGTGTGTCCCGGTTTCTGCCTTCTGGAGTTCCAGGGTCTTCCTGGCTTGCAGACTGATCTTTTTGGGTCTTGGCAAGTGTTGTGGTTGTGCTGGGACTTTGAGGTTTTGTCGAGGTGGGCTTTTAGATGCAGTTTTGTGCATTTTTTGCCTGGCCGGCATGTGCTCTGCCCACTGGTCGGCGGCTTGTAATTTTCTTTTCAAGTGTATGTGTACGCATGAACATGTGTATGTGCATATGCACGTGTGTGTCACATACCTTGTGTGTGTGTATATGTATGTGTATGTGTATATACATGATATGTATATATGTGTATGTGTCCTTTTTCTTTTGGAAAAGGCTCTGTTCCCTTCTCTGTTGACAGGGCGCTGGGGGAGCAGCTTGCTTTGTTGACTCTCGTATGGTCATACTGTTGGTGGGCGCTTTTGGTTGTCTTCCGGCCTCTGGTGGCGGCGGTGGACGGCTTCTCCCCCTTTGGGGGGTTCAGAGCTGGCGGGGTGGGTTTCTTCCCCTGTGCTTTGTCATGTCATCTTGGTGGGTGCGTTGGGCGTGGTCGATCCGTCCCATCCTTTTGGGGTTCCCGTTTGCTCTTTGCAGACATGGGCCTTCGAATCTGCGGTTCTTCTGGACTTCTTCAGTCTGCACCCTGGCTTCTATGCCCTCCTAGGGTGACTGTTGTCTCCTGTCCAGCTTTTGTTGGGGCTGGGTGCCTGGATGGTGGCCCTGGACCTCCAGGTCAATTATTAGCACTTGGTGTATTTTTGCATCTTTACTGGATCTTGGTGCCCTGTCCGAGTCTGCTTGAGATTGTGTCTGGTCTACCTCGATGACTGGCTGGTGTGGCCTCCCAGTCGGTTCGCTTGTCTGCTCGTCAGGGATGTGGTTCTTTCCAGATCGCTGGGTTTGGTTTCCTGGTGATCTGGAGGCCATTCCATCTGTTTCCGTCCCAGGTTCGGACCTGGGCCTTGTTCAGGGCTATTGGGCCACTCCTTGTCTTTCCCTCCAGAAGTGTTAGTGCAGCTGTGGTCCCGCCTTCGGCTGTGCATGAGGGGGTCCCGGGTTGCTCGAGCGGTTGTGCGGGAGTCGGAACTTCAAGGTGCTGGTCTGCCATGGGGTCAGGTTTGGCTTCGGCGTCTGTTTGTTTCCTTCGGAGACTCCCCTTCCACCTCTTGCAATCGTTGGGTTCGTTCCTCCGGGGATCTTGTGTTGGTGCTGCGTCACCAGCTTCCTCTTTGGGGTTTTTGGGGTTCTGTGCCTTGGCACCTCCCCGAGCCTTCGCTCGATGTGTTCACGGACCAGTCATCTCTCGGCAGGGGCTTTTGTGACCAGTGCTCACCAGGTCGGTCGGGGATGGAGGAGTCTGTCCATCCGTCGGGCTCACAGCACGGTTCGGGAGTTTATTGGCTGTCTGGTTTGCGCTTCTGAGGGTTTGGGTCACTCTGTGCTCTACCATTCAGCTCCATTCGGACTATTCTCTGGCGGTTCTTGCCGGAACCACAGGGTTTCTCTTATGTGTTGACCTTTGGGGTTGGTTCCTTGGAGTGGCTCGTTTGCTGGATTCTCGGGGTTTGGCTAACTGTGAGTTTCATGTCTGGGGTGTGTCCTGCGTCCTGGCGGACAGTTGCCTCGTTTCATTCCTCTGTTCGCGGATTGGCTAGTCGTCGCCGACTCGTTTCGTTGGCTCTGCCGGACGTACGGACTCCTGGCCATGGACGTTTTTCGAGTCGGCGTGGTCTAGGCATCGCCCATTTTATGTGGCGCCCTTACCCGCCTGTGAGGCGTTCACGTTGGATGCTTTTCGGCAGGACTGGTCAAGGTGGGGGTACCTGTTCCTCTTCTCCCGGTCCAACTGTTGCTTCGGGTTCTGGCACGGTTGCAGCCCATTCCCACGAGAGTAGTCCTTATGGTTCCTTGGTGGCCGACCCAGCTTCTTTTCAGACGCTGCTTGATAGGTGTCCGAACCTGGGGCATTTTCCCGCAGCTCCACCTCTTTCGGCAGGTCGGATCGGTCTTGTTCGCGACTGGTTCGGCCTTCTCCTCGGCTCTTTGCGTCTGGTATTTTGACACGGGTATCACCATCTGTGGTGTTCAGGTGGCCTTGTTGACGGTGTCCCACCTGCGAGCTTCGTCTTGGCGACAGTATGACGTTCCTGGTGTTTCTATGCACTTTTTCTTGCTCTTTGTACGTTGTCTTCTCTTTCGCATCGGGTTGTCTTGTCCTTTCTTGGGTTTTCTGGACTGCAGTTATTTGATGTTTTCTTACTGTTGCCTCGTTTTATGTGACGCTGGCGGAGCCGCTCCAGCTTGCGTTCGGG